GGATGGCCTGTCAATGCTGGCAGCAGATGTTTGTTGATGACGTCATCCAGTGGCGTATACAGGACAGGGTCCACAAAGACTGCACGCTGCAGATAGGTCCAACGGGACTGCAGAGAGGCAGAGAAGACGCGAAAGGCCGCCTGAGGCTGGGTGACAGCCAGACCAGCAAGGCGCCTAACCAATGTGGACAGTTCCTCAACACGGCTCTTCACAAAATTCTCTCGGAACTGTTGGTCTCCAATGGCCCCGCCAAGGTAACGAACGCGTACTACTACTACTACTACTACTACTACTACTACTACTACTACTACTACTACTACTACTACTACTACTACTACTACTACTACTACTACTACTACTACTACTACATGTAGTGGAGTAGTGCCAGTAGTAGGGTGTTCGGACGATTTTGAAAGTTGCTCCGATCTCTTCGATTTTAGTCTCATTGGAAAGAGTAGGGTAAACTAGCCGGGAAATATATAAGGTTTGTCTAAATCCGACCAGACGTTCAAGAGTTATGATCGTTTGAAGTGCGCTTGTTGGCACTTTTGCTGGAACAGTTTTGATGCAGGCCAGTGGCACAAAACCGGGAAATTCAAAACCAACTAGAACAAGGTGAAAATCAATTTCGTTCAGGGTCTTTCAAATTTTCACAGATGATAGCCAATAGAGAGCTTCCATCACTTGACCAATTTTTTTGGTATTCCATCCAGCCAAATTCAAATAACGCCCATAGCAACCACCATAGCAACGCGTACAAATTAGTCGAAATAGATACGAAAGATGCAACCCTTCACAGGGTGAAGCTAATTGGAATACGGGTACTACAAAGACGTATCACCAGGAGGAGATTACAGTTATCTACCCCATGTAGATGAAGCATCCAAGAAAATAACATACGCACTCAGCCGAGACGGCACCCGCACCCGGGCATGTTGCGCCGCGGGACCGGATGCATGCAGCCAATTAACAGGTATGCTGCACCATTGCAACACGATGTAAGCTTCAGCCAGGCCAAGGCAGCAGCAGTCCTGCTAATCATCAGCTTTAGAAGGACAACTTGTTCCCAGTCATATACGGCACGTGCAGCACTTCGGGGCAATTGGTGTCGCACGTCACATGTAATTTATTCATACGATTTGCACAATCAAGAGACAGTTCATTTATCGGATGATTGTGCAAGCGTAATTTGGATGTAATTTATAAAGTCGACAAATACACTGGCCCTACATTGCCCATGCTATGTGGATGACAATGTACTTCAGACACGGTGCATACGGCATTGCGTAGCTGCACTGCGTTAGCGCGCTGCAATTTTGCAAATCCTCAGAGTGTCAATTCTGTGCAGATTTTCAGCTGCATATTGAACGCAGTATTGGCAGGAAATCTGTTCTTGACCAATTTGTCTGCACAATGGCTTTCTCCACTCTCCAGATACAGCGACCAGAGGTTTATCTGATGTGGTAGCTCAGCGAAACTACAAATAAACAGCACTACAGCCAAGTCCATCAACTCGATGTACATGTACATGTACATGAACTCCATACATTTGGTATCCTGGCGCAAATCGATCGCTCATAGAACAAGAAGACAGCATCGTACAGCCTCCAAATTTCACACACTGCGTAGTTTTTCGACGCTGAAGACGATGGAATAGTCGCCGGCGTTGCGACCGGCCCAGAACAGGCCGAAATCGATACCCTGAAGTTGCGCAGGGCGTAACATTGCTAAAATTCGTCGTGTGGAAACGGGACTTACGGTCTCAACAGCAGAGACATCTCCTCTTTCCAACAAAGAAACAAACTCGTCCTGAGCTGCTAAAATTTTACCTTGCCAAGGCAAGAAGCACAGTGATGTACGATTGTGCCACGGACCCCGTACAAAACTGTTTCCACTCAAAATGCGCCTGGGTTCGAGGCACCGAACACCCTACCAGTAGTTGGTAATGCCAATGGACTGGACAAGCGGCAGCCTGGTCCACCATGGTCTACCAGTATAATGTTCTACTTCGAAGTACATGACCATTCCACACAGCTGGTTGAAGTGGCATTTTTCTGGCTAATGAATCCTTATTTCCATTTTTCTATTTCTTTTCATTTCTCACACACCACACCGCAATCATACTCCGGCATGCATTGATGTTGGTAACCACGCAGGAGAATGCAAGAAGAGCTAGGGGAATGAGTAAAAGAAGAAAGAAAGACGTGTGTGACTATCCTTCTTCGGGAATTGAACCCGCAACCTCTCATACACGTAACACTGCACCACATGGGACACACACATACATAGTCATGTACATACATTATGTACATGCATACATCTACTGCCGCTACAGTTACACAGCTGCATAATGCCGTTTATTATTATTATTTTTTTAAATTTTACTATTATTATTTTTTCGGCAACGCAGATGATGATGATGATGATGATGATGATGATGATGATGATGATTGCCCTGCTCTAGGCAAAGTGTTTGCCAACATCTACAGCTCGCCAATTCGCCTTTTCGTTGCTGGTGGCGGTGAGATATTGTCACAGGAAGGGACATGCCAAGGGGACCCATTGGCAATGGCAGTGTATGCTGTTGCCACAGCACCTCTGGTGAAGCACCTGGCAACGGCTTGCCCGTCGGTCGTCCAGTCCTGGTATGCAGATGACGATGCGGCGGCGGATAGACTCCTGCAGCTCCGACAGTACTGGGATACTCTGGAACAGGCTGGCCGCGGATATGGTTACCACGCCAATGCAGCCAAGACCATCCTCGTTACGAAGCCAGAGCATCTCGATCGAGCGAGAGAGGTGTTTGACGGTACCGGGGTGACTATATCAGCCGAAGGAGCCCGATACTTGGGCGGTGTGCTGGGATCGGCCAGGTATACCGAAGAATGTATATCCGCAAAGTCGCGTTGCTGGGCACAAGAACTCAAGTCTCTGGCTGGACTGGCGAGGACTCAGCCACACGCGGCATACGTGGTGTTAACCAAGGGTCTGGCTGGCCGGTGGCAATACCATCTCCGTGCCACACAGCACAGCCCTGAGGTTCTTCAGGTACCTGGCCAGGTTATCGATTCGGAGCTTTTGCCAGCTCTCCTGGGCCATGAGTTCGACCCCAATAGCTCACAGCGGGAGCTTCTCTCTCTGCCAACGAGATGTGGTGGTCTTGCTGTGCCGATTCTGCCTTCCCTGGCGCCTGTGGAGTATGCGGCCTCAACAAAGATCACTGAGCCGTTCGTGCGCCTGATTGTACCGCCAGATACATTAACGCCTCCAGAAGAGGCACCTGCTGCTCCATACCAGTCCTCCACACAGCCTCTGACCGTTGCGGGCGCGGAACAGCCTCACAACGTTCGGGGCCATTCTCCCGGGTTGATTTTATCGTCATCTCTACCCGATGATTTCCGCCTACATCCTGTACCACGGCCGGGGATCACTAGCCTGGATGACGCGGCCGGAGGCTCGGGCGCAGATGTTACCCTTGATGCCATCGGGGATGTTCGGCAGCGGGCACGTCAGTCACGTCAGCAGCGGCAAAAGAAACAGGATGAAAGAGTGGCACAGTTGCGCCCCATGCTACCGCCGGCGCAACAGCTTTTGTTGGAAACGGCTGGTGAGAAGGGTGTTTCAAATTGGTTATCCTCCATGCCGTCTTTCATAACGCCCAGTTCAATCCTGAACAAATCGGATTTTCGTGATGCTGTTTGTATTCGATATGGTTTGTCATTGGAGGGAGTGTCCAGTTCCTGTATTTGTGGGCAAGACATGACAATAGATCATGCCATGAGTTGCCCGGCGGGTGGTTACCCAATTGCAAGACATAACGAGATCCGGGACATTCTGTCAGAAGCTATTCGGGAAATACTACCAGATGTGGAGAAGGAGCCTCTTCTCAAGCCGTTCGAAGGAGAAACACTACCACATCGAACTGCGAACCGGTCTTTGGAGGCGCGTCTGGATATCAGGGCGCGGGGCTTCTGGACCCGGCAGCAGGATGCCTTTTTTGATGTACGGGTAACACACCCGAAGGCAAGCCTGCTGTCGCGTACAGACGTCCTGCGTCAGCTGAAGACCCATGAACAGGCCAAAAAGAGAGAATATTGTGCCCGTGTAAATATTGTAGAGAGAGCATCATTTACACCGTTAGTTTTTTCAACTTCAGGCATGTGTGGGCCAGAGGGGTCTCGTTTTTTGAAAAATTTGGTATCGCTTGTTGTTGAGAAAAATCCTGAGTTACATTATTCTGTAGTCATGGGACAACTTCGATCTGTATTGTCGCTGTGTTTGCTCCGCTGGTGTATTACCTGCATACGTGGTTCGCGGGCATCATACAAGCGCCAGCGCCACAGCTTTTTAACGAGCTGCCATACCCTTAGAGCACGTTGATGTGTACGGGTGTCTTATGTTTGTTCTTTTATTTTCCATTATGAGCCGGTCTTCTGCGATTGGTGGCCCCATGCCCCATGCTCATTGTGTTCAACTGCACTTTGCGTTCCTTTTTATTATTGAGTTCCAGTGCACTTTGTGTTCATTTTCCTCTCTTTTTTCATTCTATTTGAATTTTGATGTATTGCGTTTTTGCTTGCCCGTAGAAGAGGCTGTTCACATGATGATGATGATACATACATGTACATATAGTATGTACAGTCGTGGCCAAAGAAATCCAACCCACGGGCCGAAAGCAGCGCCAAGGCTCATGCGGCGGCTGTGGCCCTCGGATCATTTTTGCGAGCATGCACGGTGTCATCGAAGTGGAAATGCGGCGCTATTTTTGACTCACGGGTCGGATTTCTTTGGCCACGACTGTACATACATACGCACACAAGCACGCACACACACACGCAAGCACACACACACACACCATTTTGACATGCACCACCCACCCCCAACCACACACAAATAACATGCATGCGAGTGCGTGCACATACATACTATGTTAATATCCACCCCCCCCCCCCACACACACACACATACAAACAAAAAGCACAATAATTTACTAGGCCTTCTGTGCCAATCCATTCAAAAGTATCAGGTCTGAAGAATGAAACCGTGGCAATGCATAGCCGCAGAGAAAGCATGTTTACAAATATTTTTAAATTGCTCAAAACCTCAGAGGTATGCACTGTACTGGTCCCATCAAAGAATCATATAAAATCAGTTGTGCCTTCACACGCGATAAGGTCAGATGCAGGGACACCCTGACGTTACGCTCGGCTTAGCACTATCCAAACATTTCCTTATTGCAGTTCACGATACAAAAGAGCCCTGTGTAATGCATGCAGGGAAGTCCTATGCGGCCATGTCAAAGAAAAAATTAGAATCCTTACTGGGTTAACGGAAACCCGGTGTGTGGCTCCAATGGAGCCTTTCCAGGGATCGGGTCTCATTCACTCGCTGGGCATAAAGCTGGCAGCGCAAGAAAACACTGTAGCATGAACGCATTATTGGCCACACCAAAGGATGGTCACAGCCATCAAAAGCGAGAACAAATCCACCCACGGCCTCTTTCTCTTGCTGACTGTGTTGCAGCATGCATCAAGCTGTTCTAAAGTTTTTGGACAACGGTCCAATTCCACTTACTTGTGCTTTGCGACTGGGGTTATGCTGATGAACATTGCGTGGCCAAGGTGGGCTGACTTTCCATCAGCCATGCTAGCCAGAGGAGCCACCCAAGGTGCATGATCACTATTCACACTGCGGCACGTATTGCCCATGCAGCATTCGGGTTAATAATTATTATGAGATCAAATAGAATATTGGTGCAGAAGATGAGTGTTGTTTGCTCACATACTTGTGGTGCGGTAGCATCACATGAGAAGTCTTGCACGCCTTTTTGCATCAGGTAGTAGTTTGTTCATGCAAGAGAAAATCAGCTTCCAAAGGCGGTCAACGTCTTCGAGGGTAGGATACTCGAAAATATCCACCTTTATCATGACAAGTTCATCGCTGGTCTCCTCTATCTCCATGGCAACAGGATGCGTGGCCATCAACTTATCCAGTAAGAGCTCTGTGAGCATTCTGTTACCCTAGGTTTAGGAGGCATCGCAAAAAAAGAACATTCAAACGGGGTACTGATACATCATTGATACAACTCTAACTTCAAAGTCTTGGCATGTAAACCCTACTATCAACACATTGTAAGTTTGTAACTACTCAATCTGCGGACAGCTACAATAACTATAGAGGTTATGTGATGACATCACCGTTTAAGATGTTTTGGCGAAGTCGCGAAACAGCGCTGCACTTGCACTAGCGACTCACGTTGCATACATAGCCCCACACGGTTCCACTGTATACTTAGCGCCCATTAGCAGTCTCGCTGGAATCATTCGCAAAACCTCTGTAGCCTATCTCTCCCCCCCCCCCCACACACACAGAGGTACACACACACATTGATGCCCACACATCAAGTCACACACAGTCGGGTTGCATTTTTGTTTCTGAGCAAGTATGTACATAGTCATTGTAGATATTGGTCATGTTCAAGCAAAATCACCATGGTTACCAGAGGCGCCTGCTGCTCTTCTGTATAGCACATAATGACACATGAGCAGTGTTCATTAGTTTGATAGAGTTCACTCGGGCTTACAGTGCTAATAATTCAATGCTACTTTGAGCAGTGTTCATTACCGTATTTCCCCGTAAGTTAGTTCTCCCCAATGACTTAGTAACCCCCTATAAAAAATACACTTTCCACTGCCGAGGTTATCACCCCGAAAGACAGTTCCCCCGAAAGATAGTAAGTTCGTACCCGTCCTACATGTACAGACACCGTACGGTAGATACATCATATGCACGGACACTTAGAGTTGCGCAGGCTTCCCACTGCGTGTCATTTACTCCCGATAAAAAAGTACTCCCCGAAAAATAGTACCACCCCCGAAAGTTAGTACTCATGTGTCTGCTAAGTTCGAAATTTAGTACGTACTAACTTACGGGGAAATACGGTAGTTTGATAGAGTTCACTCTGGCTTACAGTGCTAATAACGCATTGCTACTTTTTTTTTCACGGTTCGCGTGAGACTCGGCTGGAAGCCGGGCTTTCCGCATCCGTAGGAACGCCACCACCCTTCAAGGATCAAGGCGCAGATGCAGCTCCTAAAGCGGTGGGAGGTGAGTAGATCAGCTCACCAGCAAGTGGTCAAAGACCGAAAATCCCATTCACTGCATCCATGTTTTCCTCGTGCCAGGCCACGAGTTCCCAATTAACTGTGGGTCGCAGCACGGCTGGAAAAAATCCTTCCGCTTCCAAGCAGGACTTGAACCTGGTACCCTCTGTTTCTCAATCATGATCTTAGACCATCCCACTATGCCTGCCTGCTCTTATTGCTACTTTCAGCAGTGTTCATTAGTTTGATAGAGTTCACTCTGGCGGCTTACAGTGCTGATAATGCATTGTTACTGTCTGTAAGCCATAGTGAACTCCACAATACTAAAGAGCACTGCCTGTGTGTCATTTACTTGCTGTACAGAATACCACAATTACTTACAAGTACGTAGAAGAGAACTTCACCGCGAAGAGGCGATCCCCGCTCAGAAACAACATCCAGACGTCGGTCATTCCTAAGATAACTTATAAGTTGCTTGGCATTGGTATGTCTCTGCAATATGATTATAGAGGGAATGAAGCAGACCAGACAGATAGGTTGACAATTAAATTGGGTTTGGCTCTTTTCTAAAATTATTCATTTTGCAATAACAAAGAAACTGTGCAAAACTGTGCATTGCTGGGATCGAAATTGGGCCAGTGTACTCCAATCATTACAAAGTAGGCAACTTGAACTGCTACGGAATACATGTTCACAACCATGCACACCTATGCATACACACACACACACACTCAGGCACCGGCTAGCTCAGTCGGTAGAGCATGAGACTCTTAATCTCAGGGTCGTGGGTTCGAGCCCCACGTTGGGCGCCGATGAAGTGGACTTATCCCCCGCTCCCCGCCACACAATAATTCTCTGACTCATTGGGTTTAGTTTCAATAATATCATACGGTTTCTTTACACTGAACGAAGTAATCTTGCTGGCGAGAGAATGGGGTAAAAAGACAACGAACTGATAAACAACTAACATTAACATCCCACCGCACACACAGACATTCAAGACCAGGTTTGGGCTAGATCGGGACTCACAGTGGGTGAAATGATTAGGCCATGTTGTGGGTCCCTATTTACTTGTAACGTTGATATGAACTTAGAAGTTGCGACTTCGGCGGTAATAGTCATGAAGTGGATTGAAGTGCTTTCTTGCAGGTTTGCCGAGTGGAAGGTGCGACGTGCTCCTCGTGTGCTCCGGATGGCAGTCGTGAGTCAGTCAAGTGTCAAGTTCGGCAAGAAGCGTGTGTTCCTAGTTGCAACAATCAACTTCATGACGTTTAATTGAGTTGCTTTTTTGGTGAGTCTGGCACCAAAGAAAGCGTAAAAGTTGGGTGGGTTTGGGATGGGGAAAATCCTGGCAGAGAGCTAGTTTGTGAGAAAACAGCGAGCCAGAGCAGCAAGCAAGCTTGGAACAACAAATGCTTGAAAGTAGAATCGGTACGCACAGGCAGTTTAGTGAACCAGCTGCCATGCTAAGCTGACGTCAGTGAAGGGCGCGCAGCCCCAGGTCGTGTTTGCAGCATATGCACGTGGTCGCATGCACAGACAGTGACAAGGCCAGCGCAGCGTATCAGCTGTGGTATGGGTAAGGAACAAGTGCAACGTGGACCCTATGCAAGAGAGCCAGCTGAGAGGGTGTTACATGACTGTTAACAACAGTTAATGCTTCGCATAAACTGATATTTATAAACAGAAGAAAGGGTGAACAACTCGAAACGACCAATGAGCGACCAGTACGTACGACACACGTGACAAGCACCAAGACAACAACTCCGTGGACGAATCACACCACTCTCTTGCACCCGAACCTTACTCTCGCAGCGCATGCTCCACATAGTCCACGCATGCGCAACAACTAGTCCACCAACACTCTCACACGGGCGGAAGCAGATTCCGCCACTCCACAACGCACACTCCTGCATGCACCACATATACTACGTACACCATACCCATATACTGCACACAACGCACCACACCCGTACACACAGAAGACCATATTTGACACCGGACAGGACGAAACAACAGCGAGACCAGAGACAACAGCGGGTGAAAAGAATAAGCGCGTCGAATTTCGCAACACATGCACACACCTCAGACCTCAGACCTGCCCATCGCGGAGGCGATGATAGAGAACAGCTATGTTAGACATAGCAACTTGTGCTGGGATTACACCATTCAACAGCTTGCAAGGCTGATGAATTGACCGCCACTATTTTTAGCCTGGTATCCACCACACAGCTGATTGCACACACACACACACACACACACACAGACCTTTGACCTTGACCTTTGACGCCCATCGTCGAAGGCGATGATAGCAATGCTACGGCAGAAGCCATAGCAACTTGTGCTGGGATTACACCATTCAACAGCTTGCAAGGCTGAAGAATTGACCGTCGCTATTCAGCCTGGTCTACACCATACAGCTATTTGGAGTGACATTTTCTGGCCAGTGAATCCCTATTTTTGGTCTTTTCATTTTTTTCCCCGCACACACATCACACCACATACTCCGGCATGCACTAGCTGTTGGTAACCACCCAGGAGAATGAAAGAAAAGTCAGGGAGAGTCTGAGAAAGAGAAGAAAGACGTGTGTGACCATAATCGTCGGGAATCGAACCCGCAATCTATCGATTGGAAATCGCTGCACATACCACTGCACCATATGGGACACACACACACACACACACACACACACACACACACACACACACACACACACATCAATTCTGCAGGGCTCTGATGTACAGGAAAATCAAACAAAGTCATGTACATCTGGACCAACACCTCTATACCTGGAGAACTTACCTCACGTAGTACACTCTGCAGACCATTTACACCGAAGTTGCGCAGGTTGAACCAAAGTTGTAGCGCAAGGAAACGCCGATCAATTACTAGTTTGAAATGCTGAAGACATAGAGAGGGTAATTGACACCAACCAGCCAAACATAAATGACTCAAAGGAAAGAAGTTCAGACAGAGAGATGTTTTTCATGGCTATCAGTCATTAGTAAGGTACCAACCACCGCATAATCAAACTAGGAAGTCATTTTGCACGTCACCTTTCCATCATGCTTGCCTTGCTCTAATATCCATAGTAAGAATGAAAACGAGCCTTGTTTCAGCAACAACCATGCACACACACACTCACACACACACGCACTCACACACACACACACACACACACACACACACACACACACACACACACACACACACACACACACACACACACACATTGTCGGATTCCCTGATTACAACGTACGTCATAGGAAGGAGTAGCTTGATCATCATGTGGATGGCCATGTTGGAGAGAGCACATACAATTGACAAAAATGGTAAGCAGCAGCATGATTTTTTTTGTAGTTGCAACAGAAGCCATGACGAGAGTGATGCCGATGATTGTTTTCGTGATGACAACCACGGCACAATTTACGATACCAGTTATGAACAGCAGCAGCACCACCACCGGATCACCACCAGCGGCGACGATGACAACGACGAAGATTACAGCAACAACAAAGACAGTGACGACCATGACAACAGTGACAGCAACAATAAGAAGAAGTATTAGTTCAGAGATTCATGGGTTAACATGTCATAGAAACAACATAGCTATGAAATAATCCACGTGTCCCACTATTCCATAGCCAGAAGAAGGTATAGGTTCGTTGGTTGGCGTTATAAATAATTCGATCACCTTGGAAAATCAAGGTGTGCCTTGGCAAACCATATCCCTCATCCAAGAAGTCATAGCTTTCATTTTACATATTTGAAACACAGCTGGCACACAAGTCTACTCGACTAAACCACTTATTCCTACTAGTGTCAGAACAAAACGCAATGCCGCAGTGCCTGGGCAAACTGAAGTCAATGCCGTCTTTGCCCGGAGTAGGTCCTGTCATGCACATCCTCCAGGTCTCAAGATGTTTCAAATCTTCTTAGTGATAGCTTGCATAGACCCTAACTGTAGGACGTACCGGTAGGACCATCATATACAGACATGCTGCACGGCCTCTGTTCTAACATTGACCCAAAACCTTACCCTAACCTGTCCCTAGGGGCTTATGAAGGAGTCCACAAATTTAAGACATTATCGTACAAAGCATGTTGCAAAATAACATGGCAACAGCCCATGGCAACTGCGGAAGTAGATGATGGAATATTGCACTCCACTGAGATGGAAAGCTGGGAATGACAATAAGTCCTCACCAAGATCGATGTGCCACGGTCAAAATTCACTTTGGACATAGTTGCAAGCGCTCCGACTGGAGCATGTGGGGCCAGTTTGACAATTGTTAAAATTGAACATATGCAATGCACTGGGCATAGCCTTGCATTTTGCGCCATTACTTTGCCTTACAAAGACCTCATCTGAACAATTTTTAAAGAACATTATCACTTGTAACTGAAAGGGCTTTTGCAGAGCAATTTATTGGGTCCTGCCGGCATGCAAGCTATCACTAAAAGAAATTTCTCCTCACCAAGGTGCTTTTCCTCTCCCTGGCTACTCATTCTTAGACTGACAGAAATATCTTGTGAAATCTCAACACAGCAAGTGCTGTGGTCAGGAGTTGACTACGACACTGCAGGAGATAGAAGGGTGGAGATGAAGGTGGACCCTAGGTGGAAATGCTTTACTGCAGGAGTTGCTTCATTTTTCATTTCAAGTGTTCTTGAAGTGACACTGGAATATTCGGTGCATGCCTGGAGTTGCTTCATTTTTCATTTCAAGTGTTCTTGAAGTGACACTGGAATATTCGGTGCATGCCTGGAGTTGCTTCATTTTTCATTTCAAGTGTTCTTGAAGTGACACTGGAATATTCGGTGCATGCCTGGAGTTGCGGGGTTGACTTTAAAAAATGATGAGATGTTGTGCATATTGCATGTGAGCTGAAAAGATATTGCAAAACTGTCTGTGCATATCAGTGATCTAGCCAAAGCCGCTGGGAGGGCGACCTGACAGCTCCAAGGGTAATTTTGGCCGGCTGCAGTCACCCCCATGTAGACTGTAGTGCCCCATATCCTGGGCGTAGGTATGTACAGTACAGTACAGTACATAGCACTGGCTACTCAGGCTCAGTGCTAGCTCGTCACCCAAGCTCAAATGCACTTGAGTATGCACTTGAGTACGTCAGTTAAATGTAACAGGTTGGGTCATGGTTCGCTGCTTCTGGTGGTGTACATGGCTGTGGCTAGGCTGGGTCTTGTCAGATGACCAATGACTATGTACACTGCATGCAGACATGACCTTGGTGAACACATGATCCATGCTCATGTAGCTGTTTGCTTCCTTTTTCATATTTTGTTAATTTACCTATAATCACATTCACGTTCACAACTGCCTCATGAATGACCATAATTGGACGAAGCGAAAGGAGATGCAAGCTGCAATGAAAGATTTGTAGTGGTGTGTGTGTGTGTGTGTGTGTGTGTGTGTGTGTGTGTGTGTGTGTGTGTGTGTGTGTGTGTGCGACTCTTCGCCAGTGAAAGCGGACTTCGGCGGCACAAATGCAGGGAAGAGCGACTGAAGCCGATCCATGAACAGGCCGGTGCTGTGTTGTGCGAAACGTGCCATCGTTGGTTTGCTAGCCGAGGTGGATTTGCTGTGCACAGCTGCTCTCCCAGTCTTGGTGACGCTCCAGTTCCAGAGATTGTTGCACCTCGCCCACCTGATTGCAGCCAATGTCATTACCACTGCCACACCTGTGACCGCTGTTTCCGGAGCAAAGCTGGGCACCGCCGGCACAACTGCAACTGCAACCGCAGAACATGCAGCTCTGGCTCCGAGCGCCGCACCATCCCATGCCCGACCTGCTCTCGGAAGTTCACACGTCTCCAGTACCTGGCTCAACACAAATGCAAGAAGTAACTCTGCCCTCCTTGCCTCTTTGAGGCACTGCATCACCTTTAGGTGGCAGTTTCAAGGTTTCAAGGTGTGTGTGTGTGTGTGTGTGTGTGTGTGTGTGTGTGTGTGTGTGTGTGTGTGTGTGTGTGTGTGTGTGTGTGTGTGTGTGTGTGTGTGTGTGTGTGTGTGTGTGTGTGTGTGTGTGTGTGTGTGTGTGTGTGTGTGTGTGTGTGTGTGTGTGTGTGTGTGTGTGTGTGTGTGTGTGTGTGGATACGTGACTGATGGGGGGGGGGGGGGTCTGGGGGCACAGCCCCCAGAACGATGCATTTTAACTGGAACGTGTTGGCCGGCTGGCATAAAATCCTGGCTAGACCTCTGCATATGGCTGCAGTATGTATAGTTTTAACGAGTCGTTCACAATAACAAGCATAGTACGCTAGAATCTGCGTGGTAAATTAATCCGAGACACGCATGTGAGTACTTGACTCACAATATGCTCCTCCACTCACACTCAGTACCATGTCCACTCCACTCACACTCCACTCATACTCCACTCACACTCCACTCACACTCCACTCACACTCCACTCACACTTACCATGTTTCAAGAATCTGCTTGGAAAGAAAGGTGCCGGCTTAGAGCCGAAAACCTCACTGAAATCTTGCAGAGACTTCACCCTAAGTGAAGTATAAAGCACAAAAGAACAAATCAAATATATTTATTCCGAAAGTTCATCGAAGTTTGTTCCGGACAGATACAGCTGTGAATACCACATGTCACACGTGTGGATATAGGATAAGGTCCTCGATCATTTTAATTAAACCAAAATTTTCGAGAAGAAACTCTTCTTCTACAGGAATTGAATGTTGGCAAAGTTTGACTGAACATTAACAACTAGTAACTCTTGAAGTATTAGAGTTTTGACCTATGTGAGCATGCACTGTTTAGAGGGAGTATCAAGTAATTTTGAAACACTCCGCCACTCGACATTGCGCTCTTGGCCCACATTCGCAGCACCATACTCCATAGCGAGGAAATTCGTTCTTGGGTAGATGTTGCATATCCTCCAGACAGCCAGACAGCTGTTTTGCTCATTGAGAGCTCATCAGTGGAGGAAGATAACGAATGAATAGCGAATGAATAGTAGATACAGGAATGAACATATTTTTATAGGGTAAAAGATTACGAATGAATAGCGAATGAATAGTAGATAAAGGAATGAACATATTTTTATAGCGTAAAAGATTACGAATGAATAGCGAATGAATAGTAGATAAAGGAATGAACATATTTTTATAGCGTAAAAGATTACGAATGAATAGCGAATGAATAGTAGATAAAGGAATGAACATATTTTTATAAGGTAAAGGTGGTGCAAATGCGCCCTTTCCATATGGAAAATGGCATACCGAAAGAAAATGAAGCCGTGACAAAAGTTCTAAAGGTGATAACGAAATGCACAGTGCTGCTGAAATTTCAAATGACCGAGTTCGTCGCAGCTTCTACGTGAGAGTATCATCATATACTTGCAACGAAACACTACTGTCCATGATTAGACTGTAGTAGTGATTTGCTTGTTTCAGCCACGGTGCACGGTGCACGGTGCATTCCACAAGTCATGCCATCAAAATCTAGAATGCTAAACATCTCTACCATTTTCAGAATAGGTGGTGAATTGTCTCCCAACCCAAATTTGGTGAGTGGCTTACTAGCACAGATGATGCGAAAGGTGTCCGCTCTATGATTGAGGACCAGCCCAGTACAGCTCCCCTTCTGACCGAGGTAAGCCACCCTGCTGATCTGAATTGGTTTAGGTCAGCAAACGCTTGTCCAGGCCAAAGGAACCCGATCATACCGAGTTTAGTGTATTGTTGGTTGTGCGACAATGGGATCATCTGCTGCTCCATAGAGGTAACCCATCCACACAGCTAATTACAGAGTAACACGGTCAGTCATCTGGACAGAGAGTTCAGGAAGCACTTCCACCAAGGAAAAAGGGAATGTTTACACAATAAACGCAGTGGGGCACACATCAACGAACTCCGTGCACAGCGCAAAGCCGGAAAAAACGAGGACAACAAGCGTGTACCAGGCTTATTTCTTTTTAAAGAAACCAGGTGCATATAAAGTCTCGGGTGGGTCACTGACCCTGCTGACCTGGCTCTGGATACTGCCTCTGGAGTAGGCCTTGCATACTGTACATGCCAAACTGGAGGGGTGGGAGCCACCACGCTCAGTTTCCAAGTTTTGACTGTTTTGTACCAAAAAGAGGAGAGGAGATCAGCATTGCTTATCTCAGGGATGAATTTACTGTCATATTTTTGCATAGCAGTTTGTGCTATACGAAATCACAATTGTGTAGCAGTCTTTGATTTTGATTAGCATTTTTCTTTGAAGGTTGTGTGTTTACCACATTGTCCTTGTTGAGAGTGCTGCATGAAAGCCCATTTGCAAAAAAAAGACCGTGAAGCATACACGAGTTCACGCAGATTGAGAGTACCTGCACCACCTACACTGCGCTGTATGCATCTTACTTGACAGTGCAGGCTAGGCATGGATAGTCTATATGTATCGCAATTTTCTGCTAGTCATGGTGAGTTTTAAGTAGCAGTAGATCGACTTTGCATCGTAAACTGCGATGCAATACAGAATAAATTCATCCCTGTATCTATTACTGTACAGTCTCCCATTGAATTATGCTTTAGATCACAGCATGCAATAACATTGCTTACCACAAACATGTTCCATTAAATAGCTGAATCATTGTCTTGTTGGGTGTGAACTGAAATGAATCTACATTCTGGAGAAGTAGTGCAAACAGAAACAGTGTGTGACATAGCGGGAGAATGAGAATCTTTCACCCCATGCACAGGCTGGACACCATGTGGAACCGAAGTAATGAAAAACTGAGCTATCAACGGAGCTTAGCCAGTAACACTGAATACAGCTCCTTCAACAAACCATTAACTGTTATACCATATTGATACACTCCAGTAGCGGTGCAGCTATGGCTATACCTGGCTACACCTGGCTATACCTGGCTATACCTGGCTATACCTGAGCTATACCTGGCTATACCTGGCTATACCTGAGCTATACCTGAGTACCTGAGCTATACCTGAGCTATACCTGGCTATACCTGAGCTATACCTGGCTATACCTGAGCTATACCTGGCTATACCTGGCTATACCTGAGCTATACCTGGCTATACCTGAGCTATACCGGAGTACCTGAGCTATACCTGAGCTATACCTGAGCTATACCTGGCTATACCTGAGCTATACCTGACCATAGCTGGCTATACTTGGCTATACCTATGCCTGAGAGTGCACACACGGGAAATGCCGGCTGATCTATGCCAGAATGGCGCAACCCTGAGGGCATGTATCAGAGTCGGTATTGCACGTGAAGGTCACTTGTAGGCAGGCTGTATGGCATGTATTGTGCCAGGCTGTATGGCATGTATTAGTAGTATAGTGAGGTGAGGGTTCTGGGACAAAAGTGACATTTGACCCCTGGCTGCCAAATAAGGAAGAATAGTCCATATATGGCAGATGACCTTTGACCTTTGAGTTGACCTTTGACCTTTGAGGTGCCATATAAGGCTGAATAGTCCATATATGGAAGATGTCATTTGACCTTTGTGGTGACCTTTGACCTTTCCGTATACGGATGAGTAGTCCATATATGGAAGATGTCACTTTGACCTTTGACCTTTGAGCTGCCATATAAGGCTGAATAGTCCATATATGGAAGATGTCATTTGACCTTTGACCTATGCTGTGACCTTGACCTTTCCAAATACGGATGATTGGTCCATATAAGGAATGTGACCTTTGACCTTTGGGATTGACCTCTGTGCTTTATATGGAAGTAGTGGCTATATAGGGTGATATGGTAGAATGTGCTATATATGTCTGGATGGTCTATAGTGGGGGTGAAGTGTCCTTATAAGGACGGTGCACGTGGTTCAGATCATATAAGGCATCTTCCATAGTGGGGAGAAGTGTCCTTATAAGGAAGTTGTACACGGATGAGGTCATATAAGGCATCTTCCATAGTGGGGTGAAGTGTCCTTATAGGGAAGGTGTACACGGTTGAGGTCATATAAGGCATGTGTCATAAAGGGGTGAAGTGTCCTTATAGGGAAGGTGTACACGGATGATGTCATATAAGGCATATTCCATAGTAGGGTGAAGTGTCCTTATAGGGAAGGTGTACATGCTGTAGTTTTTAAATAAGGCATATTCCATAGTGGGTGGAAGATGCCTTATATGGCATGCGTATCCTGGCCAGGTCATATAAGGCATGCAGTCATAGTTGAAACAATCATTGAGGGCCTTTCTGTCTGAGGCTTTGAAGAAAAGAAGCATCATGTAACAAAGCTGGGTTCGTACCCGCAACCTCTCGTACGGAAGGCATGAACTGTACCAAACGACCAGGACGACTACACACAAGACCCAAGGCTCAAATCGCCTATTTATACCCGGACCGTAAAGAAGGAAAAAAACGAATCATGTAACAAAGCTGGATTCGTACCCGCAACCTCTCGTACTGAAAGCACCAACTGTACCAAACCACCACGGACGACTATGCAGAAGAGGGAAGGCTCAAATTGACTACATATACTGGGACCGAAGCTCACCAAGGTCTCGCTGGATGAGACATCAGCGACCTATCGACAATGTCATCGAGCATGGAAAGAAGGGTGGGTGGTGGTGGTGGTGGTCATGGTGATGGTGGTGGTGGTGGGATCAGCATGGCATCCAACAGATCGACAGTCGCCAACAATCACTACCCGGTGAAAGGGAGCTGAAGGCCCCATTTTTGGGGTAAAAAAACCGGGTGCCCTATTTTTATATTTAAAAATCATGTTTCGGATGTTTGAGGTGGTTGAGGGGATATGACATCATGATTGTACCCCCAATGGTTATACCTGTTAATTGCCTCGGATGGGAGTCGGTATATAAAGTAGATACATTGTTGGATAATGTTTCATTATGAAGATGGTGATGATGTGGGGTGAAGATGGATTCTGATTTTGATATCTTACGTGCCTATGTACGTGAAAAGAGACTTCGTGAAGTAGAAGAAGAACAAGCAAGAGAAGAAGAAGAAGAAGAACAACAACAACAACAACAACAACAACAACAACAACAAGAAGAAGAAGAAGAAGAGCAAGAAGGGGAGGAAACCAGTGTCATCATCTTAATCATGTTGTTCATGAAGGAAGATACGTATGTTCTTCGTGTGGACTTGTCATGGATGTGGTTTACTTACCTGAAGTTGATGTGCATCAGAGATGTAGTTTGATGAAGAAGCCTTATGCTGCACATGAGCGGTTATGTGGTGTGGATCGTCATCTTTTGCATTTTCTTTCGAAAACTGAACTCTTATCCGATCAGCTTCGTGTACACCCTCTTCGAGAGCAGATAAGTGCGATGAAGAAGTCCTGTTTATACAAGAGTCTAAACTATTCTATAGCATTATCCTGTATAGTATACGATACGAATGTGGATGCATTACGTAAACTACATTCCTACTTACCTCGTAGCAATGTGTCCTGGTTGAGGTTCAGTCGAATCATGAAACCTCTTCCTCAGCATTTTCCACTCCTATACGTACTGCATCTCATGGAGTCGACTAGGATGGTGTCTTCATTGCAACTGTCCACGTTGCGTTCGAATTTGCTGCTTTTATCTCCATCTGATATATCTCTTATGACATCATTGATTGATGCTTATTGCTGGGAAACCTATTCACTTGATCACGTGATCCAGAACATGCACACGTTTGACTGTGATCTTATTTCTATACTGTATCAGTTCACAAAGGTGGCGGTATCGTGTAAGGAACCTTTAAAATGAGATGGATTTTAGCGTGCACGATGCTGATTGGTCAAATATTTTTGGCGGGCTTGATTGACTGTATACTACTTTCTACTCCAATATCTCATGATAGTCATAAAAAAAATAATAATAATAATAAAAAATAATAAAAATAAACAATAAAACTTCTAAAGAACAAGTATGGGTGGTGTTGTGTCGAGTAGTACGTCCACTGAAGAGTGCTGTCTTGCCTCTTCTGACTCTAGTATCCCCACTCCTACTAGTGGAGAATGGGTTGCAGGATGTGAAAAGAATGGAATTGGGAAAGATGAACCAGGGTGATCTCATGTGCACACCCATTAAGGAATACGATTTATTTGAGAAAGAAAATATTTCCTAACCTAATTAGTACAGTGTGTGTGTGTGTGTGCGAAGATGGCATACTGGGCTACGCATTTCCATAGGAGTGATGGTGACGAGGCCTCCCTCAAACACATGCAAAGCATGCGGAATGACATTGCCGAGATGCAATCGGTTGTGGGGAACGATGACACCGAAAACACCTTGGTTCATGATGTGGAGAAACTGAAAGAGGAGAAAGCCGATGAGAGCAATGTGCAAGATGTGGAAAACAGATCTATGCGCTACACAGATCAAGCCATAGCAGCTGATGAGCTGCACGTTAAAACAGACGGATCCGTGCCCATGGATGCTAACCTCGACATGAACGAGCATTCCATCTGTAATTTGACGTACGACGATAGCTCTTTGACATGTGCTGTCCCTGCCGGTTGGGTGAAGAATGAAATCCGTCAATCATCATCAAGATTGCAACACGACATCGACGCTGTGCGCAAGATGAAAGGTCCTCGTGGTGATCGGGGATTGGGATGGCTTAGCGGAGGTGATATGCCACTGAACTCTGTAGGGAGAAACGGCGACTTCTATGTGGACGCAACCACGCTCATCTTGTACAAGAAATTCAGCTCGGAATGGAAGGCTTTCGGTCGGCTTCATAGATCAAGAGATGAAGCTGGTCCACGTGGAGAACGTGGATTGATCGGTCCTCAAGGTGAGACTGGACCTAGAGGAGCTGATGGACAAGGTGGTGAGCGCGGTCAAAAAGGTGATCAAGGAATACCTGGTCCAGAAGGTCCCAGAGGTAAAGTTGGACCACGTGGAGAACGTGGATTAGTGGGTCCTGAATGTGAGATTGGACCTAGAGGACAAGATGGGCAAGACGGCTCACAAGGTGAACGTGGTGTCCAAGGTGATCAAGGAACCATAGGCCCCGTTGGCCCCCAAGGAACCATCGGTCCAACCGGTCCTCCAGGAAAAAGAGGTCCCGTGGGTCCCCAAGGAACCAGAGGTCCCGTGGGTCCGCAATCAAATCAGAACCTATCCGATCCGTTTCATCTACTACCTTACATTCGGAGAAACGCCTACCTCTACATATACTCTCATCCTAGCAGATTTGAATCCGTCACCAGGGTGAGCAGAAACAAGTACAGAGGTGGAAATCTCGTTGACTTGAATGACAAGAGAATCATCGTGAACGACATCGACATGTTCCGAGACGGTCACTTCTACCTCAACATTTCACAACACGAGCAAGTTTCCATTAGAGAACGATTCGTCAATCTGTTTGACGACAACATGTCTTTTGCAATGTTCCAAGTTATTCAAGTGGACGCACCTGACCCTAGAAACATGGCGTTGAAGGCATTCGACATCGATACTGTCGGAAATTTCACCTTGGATAGTTTGTACGTGTTGTTCACTGCCACCCACATAAGTGGCAACTACTTCACGGGTTCCGGCTCTTCATCATTCAACCTACCCGTTTCGTCTTTAACGAACCAATTATCGGCGGCTTTGGATAAGCCTGTGTCGAGCATGACGGATCTCTTGGGTACAAAGTGTGTCATAAGTTACGCTCGGAATTCAGAAGGCCTATTCACTCTATACGTA